GAGAAGCCCATCGAAAGCTGATGATCCTGAACCACCCAGATCGAGGTAAGTGGAAGCTTTAAAACGTCCCCATCAGTTCCTATAGAATAAAATAACAGCATAAGTTAATAAATAATAAATTAAAATAAAATAATCTTAAATGGTATGGCATTCAATACTAGGTGAGAGAAACGGTATTTCAATTTTCTATACGTCCTGCACATATAGTGAATTGACGATAAAAATCTTTGATCTTGATAAAATTATCTACAGATTATTTTCAGCGTTGGACTAATCGATTAATGATTTCAGATTTAAAATTAGCATTGCACCCACAGAACACTGCATTCATCTGCTTTCTCTCAAATGTTACTTTGGTGGTTACAGTTGAATGGTTACCCAGATCAGTTTATTTGCAAGTACACACATTTGAACTTCAGGTTGTAGCAGCTATAAAGGGAGACTGCTGTGTGTAGCGCTCAGTGTGATAGTTACACTCTTAAACATCCAGCATGATTTAATGAATTTTAAACATGTACACTGTGTGTGTGTGACACAGGTGGCTCTCCCTACTTGGCAGCAAAGATAAATGAAGCGAAGGATCTGATGGACGGCCAGACAAAGAACTAGAAGAGGAGATGCTGAATAAACCTCTGATTTCATACTGCACTTATTCATGCTGTCGGACTGATGGACATGAGCGATTACCAGAATTTCTATCACTGTTCTGAAATAAAATGACTGTACAAACTGTTAGAACACTCCCACATTATTGTTACTTTTCAAAAAATATTTCTCTAAGGTGGTTTTCACACAACAGGAACTTCTGGAACTAACAGAACTTAACATGAAAATGCTCCTGTTAACTGATGTGACAGCAACAGCACTTCATTGGATTTGTAAAACTTATCTTTTGTAAGAGAATTAGGCACAGTTGAGTTTTAGATCTAAATGGAAGATCGAGTTTATTTAAGAACTACCTGCATACAAAACATATTGCACATCAACCAGAATGATCCTTAAAAAAAAAATTAAAAATTTTTTTTACTGTAGTTGACCCAACAAAAACACTTGGGATGTCACAACTCTCAGTAGTCCAAATTGTCCTTTGTCTTCAAAATAGCCCCAAGTAACGCATGTTTTAGTGTCAAGAAAAAGAAGAGCTTCTGTTTTTGTTTCCATTTTTAAATACTGTACATATTTTTTTAAAATAAATAATCCGAATAAATCTTCCTTCGTGGAACAGTCATGACCAGTTTCCAGCCAGCCGGTTTATGGAAGAACCATGAAAATGACATCGTCATCACCTGGGCTTAGTTTTCCAGAAACATCTCAGCACCAGGGTAGTACGGTTCTTACTGATCCAACAGGGTTTCTGCAATAGCAGGCATGTAAAGGGCGGTACTAACTTCCAAGATACTGTGAATGTGCTTTGAATCTCTAACACTTTCATTGGATTTCTGGGAGGAAATGGCATCAGTGTCCCTCTTGCGACATCTAATGAAAGTGGCCAATGTTTAGCACTGAGATGTTTCCAGAAAACCCAGCGCTGATGGCTACATCTCTGTCCAGCACTAAACAGTAACATGCCAGTTTTCAGACTCAATTACAATCAACTTTTTAACAGAAAATGGTTACATTTCAGTGCAAAGAAAACAACTCTTCTATTTCTTTTCCAGACACGCTGTAATTACATTTCTTCTATGACCGAAGTGGTTGCATATTGAAAAAGAGAAAGCAGCAAATGTCAAACTCCTAAACAGATATATATAAAGGATAACTGGACTCATTTTCTCCACAAACATTAAGAATAGACACACCTGATTTTAAAAAGATATGCCTCTGAAATCTTTCTGGGGTCTTTCAGTGTTAGCCTCCGCCTGCCTACAGTGCCATAACAGATCAACTGCGGCTGGCAAGGGCAACTAAGTAACACGGAAACAAGTGAAAGGATTTCAGACGGTGCGCAGAGCCAGGCAACAACATGTTGATTCTACTCTCAAGGCACAACAGCTGATCACGTGTATATTAAACATACTTGGGTTTCCAACAAACCTACCTGCACTGTGGTATAGCTCATGCAGAACATTTAAGTTACCCACTACTTCAGATGCACAAAACATCTTGAAAACAGGCTGAGGAAGCATCTTTCTGAGTACACCTGGGAAAAGGTACTTTTTTAAAACCCTGCTATGAAATTACTTTTGCGAATAAAAAACAGTTGCATTCATACCACAGTATGGGTTTGAGTCGAATCCCTTTCTGCATTTTATAAATACTGCATTCAGTCCGACCTCTTGTCGAGTGGACTGAAAAGTACAGCTAAGGAGAGATGTCTGTATGTCTCTGTGTGTTTGACTATCTTTGGCAAGCTCATACAGGAAGAACTACTGTAAAGAAAGAAAATTGCAGTAAAATGGATAGTTGGACAGAACACGTGTAAAGGGGAGGTTAATGTTGAGACCTCTAAAACTTACACAGTGGAACAGGTTTCAAATATTGGTAAAATAAAAGAAAAGGACAGTGCGTGTTGTATTTAAATGTTTCACCCCATAGCTTCTCTAGAGACAGGGAGATTCAATCAAGTGCACCCAAAAAAGTTCAAATATTAGAAACCACTTCCATTGTTGGGATCTGACTAAGAGAGCCCATTAGCAACAGGTTCCGGGCTCGAGTCCTCCTTGTAGGAGACTTTGGTGGGCCTCTCAGTGGGAGCTCTGCTGGCACTGCTGCCCTCACTGTCGCCAGGGTTGTTATTAGAGCCATTGGTAGTTGCCGGGGCAGACTGCGGGCTGTGCTCAGCAATGGCATCCACTTGACCCTGAAGAAGAATGTTGCACGAACAAATAATGGGCTTCTGATGTAATTACTAATTTATCATTAAGTACCAGGGAAATAAAGACAAATAAAAAAAAAAGCAGCATTTGCATTCAGAAGAAGAAAAATATATAGGTTAAATGAAAAAGTTTAATAAGTTATGATTAAGCATGAAGAGCAGGCACACATCGAGAATTTTTATGAAAAGAGTCTTTGTAAAGATCAGATGTGGTCTGCCAACAGTTTGTTACTAACACATGACATTTAAGTACTAACCATATCCTTGTTTTTATTGGTGTCCTTGGGGGTCATCTGTCTGCTCTGAGATTCAGCCCTGGATATGTAGTCCGCCACAGTCACTACAGATATGATGACAGGCAAAAGAAAAAACACTAGTGAAAAAAATAAAAGAGCGCACCTCATCAGTGCTGTGGAACTCGAAGCTAAACTCTCACAGATGTTCAGAAGTTCATCATAATTTCGACCGCACATCTGCACTCCCCACATTTACAATGTAAGGAATTTTCACTCATGTACACCCGAGCAATCCCTGTGAAAGGCATGCATGGTTATCAGTTTTCTAACTATTACAACAATTAGGCTGGACAGAATAGACTAGACCTGAGAGGAGCTTTTAACAAACATTACAAAAATGAGTTAGAGCCAGATGTACTGACACACACCATACAAACCAGGCCAGCCACTGTTTTAAATGACAACACAAAAACAAGTTGTAGCTAAGATATTAGTAAAGTAGTACTGTACCGGTACATTAAAATACCAGGAAACAAGAAAGATGCATATTTACTATGCAATAAACTGAGTGTGGGCATGGATTAATATAATGTAACTAGGTTATTTAGAAAATTGCCTTTTTTATATTATTAAGATAATCTCCATAACTGCATATCTCATTAGGAGCAATCAGTCAACTAGCCACATTTAATTCTTCAGCAACATCCAACGATCAACACTAAGTAGATCTAAAAGTTGTTTAGTAGGTTTGTGCTAGGGGAGGAACAAATGCCAAACCTGGAGCCGAGCCATTAAAAGCACTGTTCAGGTGAAGGGAAGTTGGCAGTTGGCATAAATACCTGGCTGCCTCTCCTCAGGCAGGCGGAGTCGGCGACGTCGACTACGGTTGCGACGCTGAGGTTTAGCTTCAGAGCCATCTAAAGGTGTTGGGTTATCACAAAGAAAGGGATTGGGAGCTTAAACTGCCTTTATACCAGAGACCCGTCTTTTAACTGCACTGGCTTCTTTCACATGTAAAATGAGAAGTGACACTGTTCTGGAAAGCCGTCACCACTAACAGCAGTCAGCTCTAAGAAATATATTCAGTGGATTTTGGACAATACATGTCAGACCTTTATGCCAACATATTGTCCTGACTGTTTTGTTACTGTACACGCTGTTCGTTTGTGTGTGTGTGTGATAAAAGCTTTGTAAAATTTCTAAATCATGTGACATCCCTACCTATTCCATTTTCACTCATTGAGGCATTGTCTGACTCGCTCAAGCCATCCATCAGCGTGGCATCTTCATCTGTCCTGCGTCGTCGAGATCTTCGGCGGCGGTTTGCAGGAAAGTTGGACTCGCTAGCGTCTGTATCGGCAGTCTGGTCTGTCTCCGTGTTAGTGTCCAAAACTGCATAGGCATGGTTATCGTCATGGTCCCGAGGCCCCACTACAATTACAGAAAACAAGTTATACCAATTGTCAAGCTATCATATGACAAGGCTTTCACAAGATATTCATATGTTCCTCTTGTTTATACCCTCCAGGAGTGAATTTTACCAGAGCTGTTGCTGTATCCTCCTCGTCCTCCTCTTCCCCGTCCCCGGGGCCCTCCTCGGCCTCTGCCGGGTCCAGGCCTCCTACGGCCATCTCTTTGTGATCGCAGGCCCCTCTCCCTCTCCCTGGGAAGTAGAGAAAGAATCATTTACTGCTTGCAAACCAATGATGGTAAGATGATGTCATGGGGTAGGACTGGATAAGTCTGACTTCTTCCTACTCGATTCAAGCATGTACTAGGTATAAGCAAATTGATATTGGATTAGCATTTGTTGGATATGTGTAAAATTATGTGTGTTGACATATCAACTGTTTTACATGCTTGAAAGAATAAATCAAATCAAATCAAATCAAATCAAAGAAACCATAATACACATAGTGCATAAGATCCAATGTCAAATCCAACAATGCATTTCTCTGTCTTGGACTTTGATTATAAAGTTAACTTCACCTGTCCTGGTCTTCTCCAGCCAGGGACCAGTCAGTGAGCTCATCCCTGCGCTCTGAATCGGTCTCAGACACATTGGAGTGCTCTGAGTTGGTGCCTGAAATCAGACACACAAGAAGAGAGAGCCACAAAGGATATATCAGGTGCTAAAACACTGGGCCACAGCTGGATCTTTCTTTTTTTCATTTTCACTCCTGCACTGTTTTAGTTCCGATTTCTTGTACAAACTCTTACAGACACCACAGTATCTGGTAGCAAATAAGCTGATTTTACAATATTCGATTTTAAAAGACGCCTACCATATCCAGTACTATAGCCGTGGCCTCTGCGCCCACGCCCTCGACCATTGTATGAGCGACTGACATGTAAGGAGGATGAGGAGGCATTGGCACTGCTGTCTGTATTATACCCTCCTCCTCCTCCTCCTCCTCTCTCCCCTCTGTCCCTGTCAGCTGGTCGGTGGCCCTGGGTGATCTGGCGTAACTGTTCATCAATTTGCATCCGCTCCAGACGAAGCTGCTCAACCTCCTAGAGAGAGGAAGAAGATGTAGGGCAAACACTAAGAATAAAGAGAAAGGAAATAAGTCTAAAAGAAAAGCAAAAAACTAAAAAAGTGTGTTTTGGAAAATCTAGTAAATCTCAGAAAAATGTATTTCTCCTTAACAGTCATCACTGGATTCACATGCATAATCATCATACACACAGCTAAATCACATCCAGTGTGCCTTGTGCTGCTTATTCTGAATCTCGCTAGGCTGGTTCTCTGTTTATAATCCACAATCTGCCTCAGCTCTTCTTCTATCTGCTGGCCCTCTGCAAGAAGCTCCAACATGCCCTACACAAACAGTGCAAAACAAACATATAAAGCACCAACGCAGCACAGAACATGCAAACAGCACAGGACAAATATGTACACACCACAGAACAGCAAATGATTATCTATAAAGATGTTTTAAGTCTGATAAATTTGAATGGCAATCACAGTTAATGTGGGCTGAAAATATACAAATAGTAATCAAGTATTTCTAACCAGAAGTGGTCATAAAATGTGTCCAGGTGGTCACTACTGAAAACCTCCGGTCCACTGTACAGTGTGTTTTTTACCTCCCCCCATTCAACTGTGACTGACTGAACTATTAGGATTTGTTGTGTTTCTGGTGGAGCCACATGCTGCTTTGATTTATTTACCACAAAACCTACAAGGGTGACCAATCGATCATCTCATGAGATAAGTCTGACACATCCTGATGCTTCTCATGCTTCATGTTTAGTGACTAGATGATGGCCAAAACAGTAGCCACCCACAAAAACATATGGCATCTGCTCTTCCTTCACCAAGTTTAGCAATTTATTTCATAAAAGTGTAAAAAGGTTTTATGATGTTCGCAAAAGTGGTCTTTATTTCAGGCAAGACAGCCGCCTCCGCCATGAAGTACTACTCTATGGTTTGGTATCCTAATGTGCCTTTTGCTAATATAAAATTCCCTCTCGGGAATCACTTGATATGAGTACCTGCAGAGCACAAAATCAAAGCCATGCTACTGTTTAGACTTGAGCAAAGCACTGCAGACATGCTGATAGCCAGGTAAATGTCAGTTAGGCCTTATTTATGCAGATTATTACGGCATGTGTCCATTGTACCATTTCATGCTACAATGCAGCTTGAAATCCCTATAAACTGCAGCTGTGGCACCAAGTGAAAAAAAGGAATGCAAAAAAAATGCATGATATATTTTTTTACCCAATTTAGTGCAAAAACACAAAGACAGGTATCCTTACATTGAGGTAGGAGATGTGGTACTCCAGCAAGACCTGAACGTCGCCAATGCTCTCCTTAGTACCGACAAATGTGAAGGGGACCAGTCCCTGTGTCAACAAAACACAAAGGCACAACACCCATGTTAGTATGAGACTGAAGAGGAAACAAAGTGTTTACATCATCTGTACAGAGGTACAAACCCAGTGATACTTATCAGTACTCAACACGAAGCTTTATCGCTAGCAGTAAAAACGTTGCAGTTGCAGACTTACTTCCTGTCGGGGCTGTTTGGTATCATTGTCTCCTTCTATCCTGACTCTCACCACACCGGACTTGTCCACAATCTCCTGGATGACCTTACCGTTCTTACCGATCACTTTCCCTGGGAACACAGGGACAGACAAGTAAAAGTCTAAGTCAAAAAGATAAACTAGTGAAACTAAAGGCATTTCATGAGCAAACGTCTGCAATAAATAAAAGTATTCCAGCATTCTGAGACCTAATAGCTCCGCATTCAACACCATCCTCCCCCACAAACTGGTGGACAAGCTGGTGGACCTGGGAATTCTATATTCCACCTACATATGGAGCTTCCTGTCCAGACTCAGCCACACACATCCACGGCTCTCATCACTGGTTCCCCACAAGGCTGTGTGCTGAGCCCCCCGCTCTACACCCTGTACTGCACCCCCGCCCAGCACAGCAACACAACTGTAAAATTTGTTATGTATTTATATGGTTTTATTTCATGTTTTTTTTTAATTTTTTTATTGCTGTATCGACTGGAGGTCACGCTAAAATTTCGTTGTATGTGTTACAATGACAATAAAGGATTATCTTATCTCTATCTTATCTTATATTGTTTCTTTAGAGCTCGTCTTTTGTTCTTAAGTTCCACAAATATTGTGATTAATATTTGATAGCTGTATTGCATGTAATGTGCTACCACTGTTATCATGCCATGTAGAGCATCTCATTTTCAGCTGCCATGTGACTGCCCCTAGCAAACAGAAGCTTTGTGGGTTTCCATACCAACAAGGTTCCTTGGCACCTGGACAGAATCCTCCACAAACTCCAGGAAGCTCCTGGCCTTCTTTACTGCCTCTGCTGTCTGAAAGGCAATACACGGTTACTTTCTCTAAATTAGCACACATGCATAGTCTACAGTAATCACCTGTATGTATTAGCACAGTCAGATTCCAAATATAGTCACTTAATCAGACACTGGTCAAATTCACTGAAAATAACAAGAATGCAACATGTTTGCAATCTCCCACATATGCCCATACTTGTTTCAGTATATACACAAGTTTAAATATGTTCACACTGTCTTTCAATACTTGTAACCCATCACTGAAGCCCTCGTGCCTCTACCAGCTCCTTGGCACACACCACCCCTACCTCTCCATAAATCCTGAAAGTGCCAGTCTCCTCATCCAACTCAATGGCAGTGACACCTGGAACTTTGCGAGCTTGCTGGATGTTGCTGCCATGGGTGCCAATGGCCAGGCCCATCAGATCCGGTCTCACCATAAACTCCTCCTGGAAGGACGACACCAGGTGTCTGGAGCTCTACACAAAACAACAGGCGCAGAGTTTGATTTGACAGTAGTTAATTCATAATCCTTGAATCTCATTTATATTCACGTGATAAAAATGATCAAAATTGGCTCTAAATGATTGAAAGAGTCAAAAATGGTGCTATTCATTTTTTTTTTAAGTGTTCTTGAAATTTAAACATTTATTTTAGCCGTTTTCTAGAGCTCAGAAATTGGACAGCCGAGACAAATAAACAGCCTAATACTCTGACCCTCTCGTATGTGTAGCTAGGGAGGACAAAAATATAAAGACACCTGGGAATATAAGGTAGTCCAGTACAACACCACCTTTAAATATGACCTCAATAATAAACATCTGGTTGAATTTATACATTTATGACAAAACTAACATTATGAGCTTCATAAACACAGATGTTAAGATGGAAATGTTGCACTCACATGTGTACAATTGTACAGGTGCAACTATTAATGTGGCTGGTCAGTGCATTTGTATAAAACTATAATTCCTCCTGAGTACCCATAAATGGAGGCTGGTGTAGATTGACAAAAAGGTACACGGCTATGACTGCCTGAAATGACCTCATAAGAGAAGTTATAATTGTGTACAATCACTAACACATACAATGTCCTCCCATCTGTTGACAACTATGTTACAGTTATGACCAACTTGCTGTATGTTTGTATATTGCTTATACATGCCAAGTAGGGGAACTTCAAGTAAAGTGGTGTCCAATATCATTTAAATATGAGCCCAAATTACCACTAGCCAGTTTTGAGCAACAGTGCAAGTCCTCCAGTGAAGTTTAACACACTTTGACTTCGGTGTTCATCACAGTGGTGTTCTTGCTAGCAACTGACCTCCAGGTGTTTTGTGGCCTCCTGGTTGCGTGACATTAGTAGCAGCTTGGTCCTGAGGCTGCGTAGGTGCATGTCACTCAGCAAAGACACACGTTTCACCGTCATCTCATTGGTGGACTGAACACACAAAGTAAATTTTTAAAATTGCCATATGCTGAGCTGCTTGTTTGTTGATAATGAGTAAAAAAAATAAAAGAATTGCTTAGTTATCCACCATACAAACATAGTGAGCAGGACAAAGAAGCAACAAAGTGCAGATATTATTATTACCACAATCACTAGTTGGCTGGTCTCAGGGCAGTATGAGACGCGACAGGCTTCCACAGCTTTCTTGAAGTCCTTATGGGCATTCTCATTCTGGCACCTGTGATACGAGAATCATTTAGTACTTTCAATGACCTGGTCCTTAATGTAAATCAATAGTTTACACCCCTGCATCCGACATGCAGCTGACAGGGCATTCATTGGAGATAGAGAAATCTTAAGCGAAATGTAAAGATCTCAAAGTACTGCCAATATGCAATACCTACAGTAAGCAATCTACTGTACAATATTGCATATATGCAAGCTACCACTGAAAATGAAGAGAACAAGAATCTAAAACTAGGAGTTGCCCATTTTTATTGGTGTCTGTGTAAACATGCTACACATACGCTTCTTGTAGATCCTGAGGAACAGGGACAGTGCACTTGTGAAAGGAGTTCTTGGTGACAGCCTTGTTGGTGTTGACTGGACGCAGGCGCTCAAAGGTCACTATCTCATTGTAGGTGGCATCACAGGCTGCATACTCAATCACATAGAACTGAAAAGACAGACAGGTTCAGTGTGTACGCTGGAATTAATGAATTTTAGCATGTTGATTATATAGCAATTGTGACAGTAGTGAAAAGCAGGTTTTCAGCAAGAATTTTAACAAAACAAAAACAGCATTACAGCTGCCATATTGGTTCATTTTAATAACTGAAAATAAAACTTAAATACAGTGCCTTGCGAAAGTATTCGGCCCCCTTGAACTTTGCGACCTTTTGCCACATTTCAGGCTCCAAACATAAAGATATAAAACTAATTTTTTGTGAAGAATCAACACCTAAATGACTAATGATGATAAATAGAATCCACCTGTGTGTAATCAAGTCTCCGTATAAATGCACCTGCACTGTGATAGTCTCAGAGGTCCGTTTAAAGCGCAGAGAGCATCATGAAGAACAAGGAACACACCAGGCAGGTCCGAGATACTGTTGTGGAGAAGTTTAAAGCCGGATTTGGATACAAAAAGATTTCCCAAGCTTTAAACATCCCAAGGAGCACTGTGCAAGTGATAATATTGAAATGGAAGGAGTATCAGACCACTGCAAATCTACCAAGACCTGGCCGTCCCTCTAAACTTTCAGCTCATACAAGGAGAAGACTGATCAGAGATGCAGCCAAGAGGCCCATGATCACTCTGGATGAACTGCAGAGATCTACAGCTGAGGTGGGAGACTCTGTCCATAGGACAACAATCAGTCGTATACTGCACAAATCTGGCCTTTATGGAAGAGTGGCAAGAAGAAAGCCATTTCTTAAAGATATCCATAAAAAGTGTTGTTTAAAGTTTGCCACAAGCCACCTGGGAGACACACCAAACATGTGGAAGAAGGTGCTCTGGTCAGATGAAACCAAAATCGAACTTTTTGGCAACAATGCAAAACGTTATGTTTGGCGTAAAAGCAACACAGCTCATCACCCTGAACACACCATCCCCACTGTCAAACATGGTGGTGGCAGCATCATGGTTTGGGCCTGCTTTTCTTCAGCAGGGACAGGGAAGATGGTTAGAATTGATGGGAAGATGGATGGAGCCAAATACAGGACCATTTTGGAAGGAAACCTGATGGAGTCTGCAACAGACCTGAGACTGGGACGGAGATTTGTCTTCCAACAAGACAATGATCCAAAACATAAAGCAAAATCTACAATGGAATGGTTCACAAATAAACATATCCAGGTGTTAGAATGGCCAAGTCAAAGTCCAGACCTGAATCCAATTGAGAATCTGTGGAAAGAACTGAAAACTGCTGTTCACAAACGCTCTCCATCCAACCTCACTGAGCTTGAGCTGTTTTGCAAGGAGGAATGGGCAAAAATTTCAGTCTCTTGATGTGCAAAACTGTTAGAGACATACCCCAAGCGACTTACAGCTGTAATCGCAGCAAAAGGTGGCGCTACAAAGTATTAACTTAAGGGGGCTGAATAATTTTGCACGCCCAATTTTTCAGTTTTTTATTTGTTAAAAAAGTTTGACATATCCAATAAATTTCGTTCCACTTCATGATTGTGTCCCACTTGTTGTTGATTCTTCGCAAAAAATTACAGTTTTATATCTTTATGTTTGAAGCCTGAAATGTGGCAAAAGGTCGCAAAGTTCAAGGGGGCCGAATACTTTCGCAAGGCACTGTAGTTTATCAGTAAGAATTTTATATTGTTAGCATTCACGCTCATGTACATTTTGAGAGCATAGCAAAGACACTAGTTTTCATAAGAAACAAAACTCACATCTCCCTTCATCATGCAGACTTTAGCCAACCACCAGCCACAAGGCTCCTGATCATTGGCTCTGGAGAAGATCTGACAGAAGATTAAGGCAGAGACAGTTTAAGACACAAAGAGAAAGGTAAATATAAGGAACTGAGAAATGTGTGTATCCTCCTCACCTCCACCTCTTCCCCCTCTCCAAGGTCCTTCTTGGCATCTGGGGGCGGTGGCAACCTGACCTCACTGAAGGGCACCTGGCATTCTGGCTGCCAACTGAAAATATGATGATAACTTCTTACCTTGCTAAAACCTCACAGATTTGTCTCGAAATGGAATCTTGACATGTTTTGTAAAAGCAGCAGAGAGACTCACTTGTTCTCAAAGGCAATCGTGAGAGAGTCATCATGGATATCTCTGACAAAGCCCTGTAGGACAGAGAAACAAAAAGAGGTAAGTAGACAGCAAAGAACAGCTAAAATAAATTTGCATATACTTCAGTTACTTTTCATATTACTCTCCTCCAGTACACCATGCTTTATTCTCCTCACCAGATGTTTTCAGCTATCTTGCCTTTATTAGGAGAGTGTCTAGTTTCCCCAGACAAAATACTATGTCTACTCTTAGATGATATTTACACATTTCTCTATTTTAAAAAGTTACTAATTATTAATCATTTTAAAGTAAATATGCCAAACATGGGTCCATCTTCCCCTTTGTGAGGATTATCCGCTTTTCTCTGTTTTATGTCAACACGAATTGAATGAGATTTGAAGATTTGAAAACATGATCTGGGAGTTAGGCAAACTGTTATGAATATTTTTATCATTTGTTAATAAAGAAATGTAACAAAATTCATTAATGATTAAAGTAATCGTTAGCTGCAGCCTGATTATTCTGTAAACTTTCTTTGTTGGTCTACAGCATAAGCCACATAAATGATCAATCAATTTCTAGTGCAATGTAAAATTAACACTAATACCTTGATTTAACCAGTCATTAAGTCTTGTATCTTTGCATGTATTAACAATTTAATAGTGGCGGTGGTCAAAATTTTATCTCTGGCAGAAAACAGTTTGCATAAAGACAAAATTATAACAGCAAGTCTGTTTCTAGATACTGACATCCTTTAGTGCTTTGGTACCACTCACCTCACCACCTTAGTCCTTATTATGGTAATGGAAATGCACTAATCAGCCACAACATTAAAACCACTGGCAGGTGAAGTGAATAATATTATGTCCTTACAATGGCACCTATTAACGGGTGGGATAAATTAGGCAGCAAATGAACATTCAGTTCTTGAAGTTGATATGTTAGAAGCAGGAAAAACAGGCAAGAGTAAGGATCTGAACACATTTACAAGGGCCAAATTGTGATGGCTAAACACCTGGGTCAGAGCATCTTCTAGACTGCAGGTCTTGTGGTGTGTTCCCAGTCTGCAGTGGTTAGTACCTGCCAACAGTGGTCTAAGGAAGGACAAACAGTGAACCGGCGACATGGTCATGGACACCAAGTCTAACTGATGCACATGAGCAAAGGTTTGCCTGACTTATGAAACTGCTGAAAATCTCAATGCCTGCTATGACAGACAGGCATCAAAACACAGTGCATCACTGCTTGCTGTGTATGGGACTACATAGCCGTAGACCAGTCAGAGTGGCCATGCTGACTCCTGTCTACTGCCAAAAGCACCTACAATGGGCATGTGGATGTCAGAACTGGACCACAGAGTAAAGGAAGAAGGTGCCCCAGTCTGATGAATCACATTTTCTAATACATTTCATAGATGGGTGGGTGCATGTGCATTGTTTACCTGGGGAAGAGATGGCACCAGAATGCACTATGGGTAAAAAGAATGTAGAGGTGCTGTGATGCTCTGGGCAATGTTCTGCTGAGAAGACTTGAATCCTGGTATTCATATGGATGTTAATTTGATATGTACCACCTACCCTAAACATTGTTGGAGACCAAGTACACCCCTTCAAGTACCCTACTGATGGCAGTGACCTCTTTTAGCAGAATAATCCACCGTGCCACACTGCAGAAATGGTTCAGGAACAGTTAGAGGAGCATGACAATGAGTTCAAGGTGCTGACTTGGCCTCTAAATGTCAATCTGATTGAGCATCTGTGGGATTCATAAAGGCCCCACCTCACAACTTAGAGGACTTAAAGGATCTGCTGCTAATGTCTTGGTGTTACAAATCAGAGGACACCTGTAGAGGTCCTGTGGAGTCAGTGATTCGGAGCTGTTTTAGTTGCACAATGGGGACCTATGCAATATTAGCTTGTATATATTATGTATTTATTTTGTTTTTATGTTGTGCACATTGGGGGTCAATGAGCTGGTCAAATTCCGTGTGTTCTTGAAATACTTGGCAATAAAGTTATGCTTATTAGACAGGTGATTTTATTGTTGTGGCTGATCAATGTAAGTACCAGTGGCTGACATCTCAATGCCTGGACAAATAAACTAAAGCTATCTGCATGGCTAGACACTTCTGAGGGATGTGGGGATTTTAGAGTCATTACAACACCAGCCTTATCCTTCAATAGAACAAGTGAATGGCAAGAGTTTCAGCCAGGGAAATTGGCAAGCAGGGTAGTGAACAAAGCAACTTACAAGGGTTGAATTAAGACAAAAGGTGGAGAGGATAAGTGCAATCAGAGGAAGAAAGCTTAGGTCAAAAGGAATAATAAAAAACGAAGGAATCAGAGTAGCAGAGGAAATGGGTGGAAGGGAGGCAGTACTGTTACTATTACTTTAGACAGCAGGTCTAGAAATAGCTTTAAGTCGGCGGTATCAGTGCCCCTGTCCTGACATGCCAGCTGTTCAGGATTGACAAGTAACAGGTGGCTCACACATACACATACATATCGTGGGCATGATGAAGTACCGAAAAATAGCGACAGACAGCCGTGGGGTTGGTGCAGTTCCATGAGAACGTCGAAATTACTGTCATAACTAGCCTCCTAAACAACCACACACATTAATAAAAAATACTGTCAAATTTTGAAAGGTTTCTAACAGCTCTGATAAATCTAAACAACTCCGATAAATGTAAACAACTCCAATAACGGCGAGCTGCGCACACAGTGTCTGACATTAACATCTTACTTTAGCCTCATTTTTGACGTCAACAGTTATTAGCAATGTAGCTAACCTTTAGCTCGGGGAAGCTGCAATCAAACGTCAAGTAAAATATGTAATAGCCTTTATCGGTTATATACTCCAGTTAAGGCAGGCAGGATGATGTTTATTCCACTCTGTGTATAAAGAAAGGTCGCCAAAAAATAACTGTAGCGAAAACTGGTGAGCGATGCTAGCTTAGCCTGCTAATTTTGGCTAGCACTGCTAGCACAAGCTAATGACCATCGGTTAGAGGGTTTAGAGTAAGTCGGAACATGTTGCCGTGGTCAGTGAGACTAACATACTGCATTGTTGTAGCGGGCTGCTGTGTTTGATTCTGTATCGATACGCCTGTATTTACCTTGTAATAAGCCCCGTTGGAGCCACGGACCTCCACCGCCAGTTCTTCCATATTGGACACGCAAAGGATGTTGGGACGACAGGTGCTCCTTAAAGCATCGGCAGAGAGGTGACTGTGGCAGCTTCAGCAGCGTGTTTACTGTTTTCAGTTGGCCTGCACCTCGGAGCAAAAGCACTTAACTCACTAAAAAGTTTACTTGTGCTGGCAGCTTAATTAAAGCTGTGTTCTTGTTGTCATTTATTGTCATATTTGAGACAGATACAGTAATAAACTATCGGAGCCTTTGGTTGAAATGGTGACTGCCTGTGAAGCAGTGGTGTAAAGTAACTTAAGTTTACTAAGTACTGTACTCGAGTACAAGTTTGATTTATCTGATCTTTGAGTATTTTCATTTTCTGCTACTTCATGTTTTGACTTTACTACATTTTAGAGGCAAATGTTGTACTTTTTACTCCACCACATTTATCTGATAACTTTAGTTACTTTTCAGAATCAGATTAATAAAACAAAATACAGTATGATCATAAGACTTTACTGAGCTCTTGTAGAAAAATTTACAAGCTACCCAGCAAGTATAAAAGGTAGTTAAGCTTAAGTCCATCTTTACCAGCTACAATATTAAAGTGTGAACACAATAAAGGATTAATAATTATAAAACATATTATGATAAACATTAATTCTGCATAATGAGAACTTCAATTCTTTTCTTTAGTAAGATGTTGAATGGGGGACTTTCGGGTGGTATTTTCACAGTGTTGCTACTTTTACTGAAATAAATAATTTAAGTACTTTGTCCACCACTGGTTAGATAAAAACAGTTTCATATAAATCTCTGGATTGGTCCATTCATAAAATATATTTATTGCATTAACAGTTTGTTTCACACGTAATAGTCAGACTTTGTGGTCTACTTTCCGGTGTTTAAACCTCCTAATACATCTTAAGATTCAACTTCCCAGGTAGAGAGATACAAACATACTGTACCGTAATCTACTGAGGAGCAGGCAAAATTATACTGCTCAGTGAACTGTCCTCCATCCAGTTATGAAAAGACAAACCTGTGCATGGGCACTTTCTGTGCTCACCTAAATAAGTAAGAATGAAAAGCCAGAGACCCCACCTCATCTTTGTGAAGAGTTCTGGCTGCTCTGCTCTATTTTACAAGCCTGGATTTGGTCGAGTGAATCTATTCTCTGTCTCTGTATGGCCGCTGTCAGTGCAAGTCAGTTCAAAGTCATACTGAGTGATGACATTTGTGCCACGATGAGAGTTCAGACGTCCAGTGATCACTGAATGGACTGATGAGTGTGGAATCAGTGGCACAAACACTAGCCATCAGATGTAAACCCATCTGGGCAAGCCCACCAGGAAGCTTCATTAAAAATGGTTTTTACATCTTTGCAGCAGTGGCAGAATAAGTATTCAGATCAATTACTTAAGTCAAAGTACCATTACCACACTGTAAAAATATTCAATTTTCTTGATCAATCCATTGGTTGTTTGGTTTGATAAACATACAAAACTAGAGAGACGTACCCATCACAATCACCCAGAGTAACATCCTCCAACCAACCAACCGGTTGGTTCAAGGAAGTTAGACCCTTCAATCATGGAGCTCATACATAATGTATCTTTTTTTTTTTTTATTGTTTATGTTCACAAACACAGGTTAGAGCTGTTTTCTAACTAATAAGCTACTTACTGAGTGCAGTGGTCAGCAGAACAGAGAGCAGTCACAGGTTCGTGTTTTGGAAACAGCCACTGTGACACCTAGTGGCCAACAGTTAACCTCCTGGTGACGGTTCCTGCTGTACAGTAGATATTTACTCTGATTTGGCACCACCACGAGACCGTAGCAGAGATACACTACAGGCCTAACTCTCAAGCACTTGTGTCTGCAGTTTGTATTAGTGGACTACATTATAATCAGAGGTGTTCCTAATATTCTGACCCTCTCAGGTACAGTATGTAGCCAGGGAGGACAAAAATATAGACACCTCTGAATATAATGTAGTCCAGTACAACAACACCTTTAACTATGACCTCAATATTAAACATATAATTGAATTTATACATTTACGACAATTTCACCGAAAACCAAAACATTTTGAGTTTCATGAACACAGATTTTAAGATGGTACAACTTCACAGGTGTACCTAATAAAGTGGCTCGTGAGTGTACATTTCAACAAAGAAAAATTAAGCAAATCATAAATGTGCAAATGAGTAAACAATCACAAATAAATATTCAATGCCTACTTGAAAGTAGCCATTATATTTTAATGCCTCATACAAATATTATGTCAATATTATACCATAAATATATGACAGAAAAATTTAGGTAAAGTGATACCATACAGCATTTAGTAATATACATGTAGATAACAATGAAATATACTGTGATTCATGTCTGAAAGGAAACCATTAATATGTAAAAACATATACAACATTTTCAGGGTTTGCTACTTTTTTGTTCTATCAGTTTAACTGCTGTGGCTACAGAACGATGGATTAACTGAGAAAAACACATACACTCTACTATTAAATGTAATAAACATGTACACAGTTCAGTATCACATGCACAACTGGCTTAGATAACCACAGGAAAAAAATATTTAAAAATGTATTAACCCTTCATTTTTGATGAAAATATCTTCAAGGATGTTTTGATGTGTCTTTTGATGTATTCTGACTCTGTGATAAGATGAAAACAGTATGTTCCTGAAGCATTTGTACTCTGTGGTGCTCTGTGGTGAAAATATTCTGCTCGGTCTGAAGACATTACACAGCCCCTCGCAGTCTGCCTGATAGTCTGTCTCACGTCTGATTTAAACCAGTTTACCAATTCCATTATGTTAAGCCCGAACACTGGTTGGGAAATGATGAACGATTATGTGAAACACATAATCTCTCTGCTGCACCATCATTGCAATATGACAACCAAATTTCATTCATCCTATCCAATTTCTTCCTTATTTAAGGAAAGAAAATTACTGGTCCCAGTAATCAGATATGTAGCGAGGCTGTGTGCAGGAGTTAAGCCCACTCCCATTAGGCTTTCTGCCTTGCTCCTGCTGTAGCCAAAAACATGCACAAGCAGAGGAAGACGGATACACGTTCCACATGTCTGACCCTCCTCAGTTCTCACACCTCCTTTCACCCATTTCAAGGACTATTATTTGGCCTTGATATATTCTCTACAACATCATCCGTTAGTGATGCCAGTTTGAAACACAGTGTCCCTTAAGTGGTTTAGAGAGCTGCACACGGGCACTTCACTCTCTCTCGCTCTCTCTCTCTCTCTCTCACACACACACACACACACACACACACACTTCAGTGTCTCCCCCCTTTCTCTTGCTTCTGAAAAGAGGATGGCACAAATGTTCTTTTTCCAAACAACATCATTTTTGAAATTTGGCTAAATTACATAAGAATGCAATTTTATCTTTTTCATCGTGATTATATCCTCTGACAAAAATCAAGTGTAATGACGAGATATTATTTGGCACCAATATTCATTCTCTCTGTATCTCTGTGGAACTAAATCACCAGCGAGCTGCTATATCAAACACCGTGTAATCTTTTGCTAATGCACTACAGATATCATATGTTTTTGCAAAGCTCCAGTGTCACAAACAGAGAGAGGTGTATTGAGCCTATGACTGTTTGTTCTCCTCCACACGTCCAATTTCTCTCTCCAATCAGGAATGCATTATAGATGTAATTGAAAATTAGTAGTACATCTTTTTTTTAGGGGATAATTTATCAGGCCTCATTGTTCCTGTGTGACACCTCCAGGGCCTGTTTCTAACAAGGAGCCTGGAGCACCGAGAGGCTTTCTGCTTGCCCAGGCCCCGCAGCGTTCGCTCTGCTTTGTCACTAATTGTGGCCTCCCCTCCACTGAATTGTGATTCGAGTTAAAGAGCTTGTTGGCTTGATGCAGTGAAGCTGCCAGTGACGCTCTCACCATTATCAAAGATACTCTTGATCTTTTCAAAAGCAGGAAATAGATTTTTTTTCCCAAGCCCCTGTTCAATCACACAAGGGGTTGGGGGGAAAAAAGTAATTTGCAATGCGTCCATTAGTTCTTCATTAAAGCAAGATTAAATTGCACCTCAAATCACATCTGCCTTTTCTAGAGTAAAGGGTGACAGTTTTAGGGCCAAAACTAATTACTAGTGCCAATGAATGAGAGAGGAAAACAGGGCTGTTTTTACATGAGATAGTGTGGCCTGTCATTATATTCAGACTAATTCCACTCTGCCTGCTCTCTTAATGAGACCAGAACGTCCTCACATCTCTCTCGCTCTCTTTCTCTGTATCTGCGTGAGCTCCAAATGTATAATTTTGATAGCACTTGGAGTTTGCATTAATTAATTTTTCTGCGAGACCTGCTACAAGTGCCAAATCTGTGATGTTCTGAATTATCATTTAGAGAAAAAGAAAAGACAGACAGACAGCGGGGGACAAAGAGAGACACAGCTGCTAAAACAGAGAAGGAAAATGAGAGCGAGACAAACTGCATACGTTAACTTTATATCTGTTTCAGTTCTTCTTCACCCTCAGCTCCTTGGTCTGCTACTTACTGTCATGATAAATCTGTGTAACCTACCTGAGACAAATATCTAATGTTTGCAGGCAAACTCTGTTGCAGACACAGAACATACAGTAAAATGCAAACTAATGCAGTAGCAAGTACACTCGCTGTTCCCTGTGTGGATAAAAAATCTAGACTGCGGCATAAAGTCAAACTGGAGGCTTTAGGCTATTCAATAAATGAAACGAAAGCTATTCTCGCCCTGTACTGTTTCAGATACTAATTCACTTAAGCTTTGAGGAAACAACCACTGTCTGCTCTGTTTTGGTGGTAACTGGTTATTGTTTGGTGACATTAGTTGATAATGACCACAACAATGAACAGATTCAATGTTGGACGGCGTTGTGATGCTCACATATGAATGATGAAAGCTGTTTTTCTTTTACATGTTGTACAAGAATGTTCAAGCCAAATTAAGAGACTATGACACTGAATTTCAATGAATAATTGAGCAGTCTATAAAATAATTGACAACATTAGCTGGTGACAATTTTGATAATTAATCCTTTACAATAGCTTCAGCTTCTCGCATGTGAGAAACTGCTAATTTTTCTTTTGATAACACTGGAAATGTCATTTGGTTTTAGGGCTGTTTGGTGCTTTGCTGATGTCTTGGGCTTTAGAAAATGTTGATTAGTATAACTCAATTTTTTTATTTGTAGACGCATTAATTAAT